CTGCTTCCCATACTCTTCCATCTTCTATATTATCTTTTATTATGAGAATGTAAGCTCCTAGAGGGCAAGGATTGTTTCACTTGCTTGTTTTTATATCCCCAGTGCTTAGCACAGTGCCTAGCCAGTAAATGCTTAATACATCCTTTTTCATTTATTCATTCTTCAAATATGTCTACTTCTAGTGGTGCCCAGGACAAAGAAGTGAGTAATTTGATTAATTCTGTGAGGTCCTGGCGGGGTTCAGCTATCATGCCCAAGATTTCTATATCAATATTTATTTAGGAACCTAGCTCTGGTCATTTCCTTGTCTCCTTTCCCTCCATCCACACCATGTTGCAGTGCTAGGTCTAGCCTCAGTATCTAGCCATGGAAAGAAGCCTGTTTTCCATCAGCCTTGGATCTGCCACAACAAAGCTCTGATTTTAGCTCTACCTTCAAGTCTTCTATACTGCCAAAGATCCCCTAGTAGAGCTCTTAGCCTAGCCCAGCAGAGTCCGCCTCCCCAAGGTCAAAGATGTGATTACCTTCCTCTTGCTTCATGTGGTACTATCTCTCCATTAGTTCCAGGACCAGCCAGGTCAAACTATAGCCAAGATAGCTTCTCTAAATCCTTCCACTCCATACCACAGGCTCTATTCTGAGCTACCTATCTCTTATTGACCTCTTTGGCAGCTAGATTGCACAGTGGATAGTGGAGTCAAGAAGAGCTGAGCTAGAATTCTACTGCAAGCACTTACTAGCTATAAATCACCTAATCTCTGTTTTCTCATCAATAAAATGAGGATGATAATAGCACCTACCCCCAGGGTTCTTGTAAGGGTCACATTGGATAATATATATAAATTTTTAAACCTTAAATTAATATGTAAAAAATTAGTGGGGGGAGGGGCAGAAGAGCAGGGAAGCAAATACATTAGGTTTTGTACACGTTGAGTTTGAGCTGATGATGGAACATCTAATATACAATACGATTGATAATATTTTATACACTCTGATTGAACTATCAGAATTGTGCAAGAGTCCCACCCATCTTCCTGCTTGCTCAGCATTAGTTGAAGCTTAAATCATCTATAAATGAACTTGATCAATCTCAATCTAAGCCAAAGTCTCTTTCTCTGATGCCAAGTGCCTTAAATATTTTTTCTTTTTTTAAAATTTATTTTATTTTTAATTTATGGAATAAAATAAACATTTCCATAACACAGTATAATAAAAAAGTTAATTGCACATAAAACTACAAATCTATTATGTACAACTTGCTATTCCTTTTAAATATATAACAAAGTTATCATGCAAATTTTTTTCCTTTTTTTCTTCCCTCCCCCTCCCACCCCACCCTAGAGATGGCTACCTAATGGTACGTGTGTGTGTGTGTGTGTGTGTGTGTGTGTGTGTGTGTATATATATATATATATTTAATTATTTTATACATACTTCTATTTATCAGGTCTTTCTCTGGATGCAGATATTGACTTTCTTCATATGTCCTTTATTTTTAATTTGTGTATTTGTAATAGTCAAAATGACTTAGTTGCTGAAAGTCATTCTAAAAACAATATTGCAGTCACTGTGTGCAATGTTTTCTTGGTTCTGCTCGCTTCTTTCTTTGCCATTTCATGCAAGTCTTTCCATGCCTTTCTAAGATCACTGAGCTCATAATTTCTTATTGCATAGGAGCATTCCATCACAACCGTACAACACAGCTTATACAGCCATTCCCCAATTGATAGGAGCCCTGCCATTTCTAGTTTTTTGCCAGTATAGAGAGCTACTGTAAACATCCCATTCGCGAAGTGATAGTTACTATTTGTGAATTTCTCTCCATCTTACTTTTGCTCACTATTTTCTCTCTGCCTCTCTTTTTACCCTATCTTTTCCTCCACTCCCCATCCTACACAACCCTCTAAGAGTTCCCTGCAACTGTCTCTCCCACCCTCCCAAATCCTAATCTACAGACCCCCCTCTAAAAGTTCCTCCCCTGTCCTCCAGTTTTCTCACCTCTCTACATGTTCAGAATATTTCTACACCCTTCCAGATGTATACATTGTTTCCTCTTCAACCCAAATGAAAGTGAGGTTCCAACATTACAAGCTCCTTCCCCTACCTGCTTCCTCTGTATTAGTTCCTCCTTTCAAACCTCATTTTTATAATATAATTGTTCTCTTTTACCTTTTCCTACCTGGTTCTGTTTTTTAGAGTCACCCCATCATACTTAACTCACCCCCAACCTTTCTTTCAGATGATGGCAGTTTTAAGAATACAGTTTAAGAATACTAACATTTTCATATATATATGTATGTGCATATATATATTCATTACATTTCATTACTGATAACATTTTCATATATATGTATATAATAAGCAAGGCAGTTTGACCTTAATGACAACCTTATAATTAGTGTTTCATGTTTTCCTTATATTTATTCTGGATCTTTTATATTGAATTTTCCATTGAGTTCTGTTCTTTTTGCAACAAATACCTTAAAGTCTTTCTATTCAGCAAATATCCATTTCTTAAATTCAGGATTATACTGAACTTTGCCGGGTAAATTATTCTTGGACACAAGCCCAGCTCTTTTGATTTTTGAAATATAGAGTTCCAAGACCAGCCTTTTAGAGTAGAAGCTGCATTTCACTAGGATCAGGATTCCCTTGGCTTTTGCTGTACTGATTGGTCAAGATCCCTGCCAATTTTCTTCCCTATATTAAATAATTTAGACTAGTCATTCAAAAATGTAATCAAGAATCACTGCAATTTACTGGATGATGGATTGAGACCCGCAAGGAACCTTAGAGAGCATAGTCAGAGGGAGCTAAGTGGCACAGTAGACAGAGTATTCAATCTGTAGTCAGGAAGACTTTCGTTCAAAACTGGCCTCAGATATTTACTAGTTGCATGACCTTAGATAAGTCATTTAACTTCTATTTGCCTCAGTTTCCTCATCTCTCAAATAAGGATAATAATAGCAACCACCTCCCTGGGTTGTTAAGAGGATAAGATGTGATCATATTTATAAAACACTTTATAAAACTTAAAGTGCTCTATAAATACTATTATTATTAAGTCCAGAGATGGGGTAAGATGAAACTGAGCCTTGGAAAGGTTAAATGACTTACCTAAGGCCACACAGGTAATTAAATAAAGAAGCCAGAATCTGAACTCAGGTTACCTGATGCCAAATCCAGCACTTCTCTATGATTAAACCAAATAGGCAACCCCCAAACAACAAGTGTTCCAGTTCTCTATCATTAGCTTCTAGAAGCAGCTTTGAATGGCTCCTGAGAGTCCATTATGAAATATTCAGAATGAGCATTGACACGTTAGAAATCTGCAGTGGCTACAAATTGGGACTTGATTTATTGTTTTGTTGATTGTCTAGACTTAAGAAAGGGTTACTGCAGATTAAACTTGAAAGTGTGCATACATTTCCCCCCCCTCTGGAGAGCCCGGCTGTGAAATGTTCATCAGCATATCCCTCCAGTCATCCAAGGTCATGAGGGCAGGAACAAGGCTCTCCCGTAGGATCTCAGTCTTCATGGTAGGTCATCCCCAAAAGACACACTCAGGCAACCACTTAGAGTGCCAAGTTACTTTATTACATGCAGTGTGTGGCATTCCCAGGTATATGCCATACATGTAAATAACTTATAGGTACATGCAATCTCTTTATTCAATCCAGATTTATTCATTTTCACCTAGTAATAAGGCCCTTCTGTTTGTTTTACCTCCTATGTCTCCATCTACCCTTCCTCTCACCCACCTTACTATTATTCCAAGTCCAAGTCAGAGTCCTTTCTCGGCTTCCTAGTTAAGGATACAGTCTCATCTATCTGGTCTCTTTAGACTAGGGATTCTTGACCTGGGATCTGTGGCCTTGTTTGAAAAAAATTAAGAACTATTTTTCATCATAATTGTTTTCCTTTGCAATTTTATGTATTTTATTTTATACCTTTTAAAACAGTATGGAAAGGGGTCCATAGGTTTCATCAAACTGCAGAAGGGTCCATCTCTCACACACACACACACACACACACACACACACACACACACAAAGTTTGAGAACTCTTGTTTCAGAATGTAATCTTTCCTCTAATTCTGGCTGAACTCTATTTCAGGCAGGCCCCTGACACTCCTAGGAGGATTCCTGCTCCTAGGAATCTCCTTAAACTACTTCACCTTTCCTGCTCTACTCACTTAAAAGCTTTTCTTAGTCCACTAATCTGTGGTTAATAGCATGTTCTCTTTCTCCTATTCACTGAAGCTCCTCCCCTACCAATCCTATTTTCAGATCTCCAGTCTCTCTAAACAACTTCCTTTTCTCTTCATCCTTTTCCTCCACAATTCTAAAATACACTTACTTGAAAGGTACCAATAGAGTCAGTTAGGTATCAAAGCCATTAACCTTTTCTGATGATACCAGTCAATTTACAAAGTGCAGCCGGGGATGGGCTGCCAATAGAACCAGTGTGAGTGTCTCTTTCTTGGCTTGCTTCCTTCTCCCCACCCCCATCTCACCACCCTTTCACCGTAAGTCTGCAGCCTTCTGCTTTCCCACCTCTCTGTCCCTCTTCAATCCCTTAGTTCCTTATCCATCTTGGTGCAGCCCCCAACTCTCCTCTTAGTAAGCCTGTGGCTTTTTCGATTCTTTGTCTTAGTTAACCTTCATACCTACAGGCCAGAGTATATATAGAACCTGTAAGCCAGATTCTGAGGAAGTAGTATTCTTTACTGTTAAGAATCAATGTGCTCATTTATAATTCTGTTACCTTTTTTTTTTCATTGCTTGATTTAACTACAAAAAGATCTTAAGTCTATGGTTATAATCTTAGAAAAATAGTACCTTGTATCAAAAAACACAATATAGTTAGAGCAGTGGGGAATAGCTTTCTCTTCCTACTCAAATGATCACATATGAACCTACTGCTTATATGTTGTGTCCCCCATCAATAGGCTCTAAAGTTCCTTGGGGGCAAAGATTATTTTTCATTTTGTCTCTGTATTCTCAACAATTAGTACAATTTCTTGTATTGTACTTAATAAATATTTGCTAGATTGGATTGTAATAAGGAAAATCAGGTTTCCCAAAGTTATACATCATTATGAAAAAGAGATTTATGCTTACAGCCTTGGCTTGCCCCTATAAATAATAAGCTCCAGTGTTTTCTCCATTTCTCCTAATGGTGATATTCAGTGCCGAGTTATTCATGCCAGATTTGAAATCAATCATAGCTACTCAAATGCCAACCAGTCCAGTACCTCCATTTTGTTACGTGTAACCACCATTCTCTCTTCTCTCACTCTCCCTTTTTCAAAGAATGACCATGATGAAGGTGGGAGAAATTGACGGTTCTGAGATCTGTAGGCTAGAAATTCCCTTAATAGCAGGGACAATTTTATTTTTGGCTTTCAATCCCCAGCACACATTCTATGAAGGTTCATAGTTATATGTAGAACTGTATCATGTGCTTTTCCATCTGTGTGGCCCTTGCTTTATCCCTACGCCTATAGAGGCCCTTCTCCAAACCATTGCAACTCTGAAGTCCCCCAACTCCTCCTTTCTGAATCTGAGCAGTCCCTTGCACCTGTGACACTCAGCTTGGGAACTTTCCTATGTGATGCCTGAATGAATGAATGATGGTTAACCCTGCCAGGCCTGTACCCATTGGGTAATTTATCTATTTTCTCCTCTCCTAATGCCTGTAATCTTTTTATGATTTCCTGATTGCCTAATGAGCCACTTTCTCTTCCAATAGTTATTCTTTAGGCTGATTTCTTAAGCAGAAAAGAAATTAAATTAATCAGCTATGGGGTGGAGGTGGGGGTAATGTAGTAAATCTAAAAAGCTACAACATAGGGTGATTAGGCTTTGGGAGTTGGCTGAAGCTTCTAAGAACCCAGTGTTCCACAGAGACACAAGAAGCTGATCCTCAAAATCACAACACATTCTCCCTTCCAGGAGGCTGGAGGAAAACAGCAACACCAGAGGGATTTCTTCCTCATGGTCTAGGCTTGAAGGTGGAGACCAAGCTCTTCCTGGCTTGCTTGGGTTGCTCACACATGCTGGTCAGAAGAACTGGGTCTGTCCTATGTTCCACAATATTGAAGGGGCAAGTCTTCAAGTGTTCTGACATGGAGGTGACCTCATTAAACTGCCAGCTGTTAATTCTGGAGAAAAGGCTGCTGAACTGCCAGATCTGTTGGGAAGGAATAAATTCAATTCATTTCAACAAGTATTTATTAAGCACCTACTGAATACCAGGCAGTATCCTAAATGGTGAAAATTCAAAGACAAAAATGAAAACAATCCTATCCCTCAAGGAACTTAGATTTCTTGGGGGTTAGGTGGTATGGCAAGTGGTAGGGAGGATTGGAAATATGCTGGTAAATGTTTAACAACTGAATCTTAAGGAGGGGAAATTTGCTGCCAGACACATTTTAAAGTTTAATCCACATTATTAACATTTTCTCTATCACTATGTTAAGTCTAGACCACAGGGTCCCAAAGTGGGCAATACTGCCCCCTGAGGGGCACTGGAAGAATCCAGGGGGGCAGTAGTAGCCTCAGGTTCGATTGGTGGGTGCTGAATAAAAATAAAGGGATGGTGGAAGCATGAGGAAAGAAGAAAAGATAAGAAAATTTTGAAAAATTGTTCATACATATTTTATCTGTTGTATAACAGAGTTAAAGTCATAGTGATTGCATCATTTTCCAAATAAACACAAAAAATGCAAGTTATAACCAATCAGTGGTCAAGTCCACTGACAGATCTTAACAACCAAGTGTTGGCAGGCAAGCCCATCTCACATTGTCTGGAAGTCCAGCATACTTCAGCAGAAATATGTACATGTAATGACTTGTTTATAATATGATACTATATGCTTACATTATACAATATTGTATCATCAAAATTTCAGTGCAGGAAAAAACCTATAAATTTACAATGAATTATTAAATTTAAAATGTGTCATTTCAGAAAAAAATTTACTTTTTTTGAAATGATGCAAATTTCAAAAAAATACTGTTAAGGGGTTAAAGAAGGTAGATTTCTAGGGGGGTGCTGAGTAATTTTTTTAAAAGGGGGTGGTAGGTCAAATAAGTTTGGGAACCTCTGGTCCAGACAATTCACAAAACAATAGATCAAGCCTTTGCCAGTTTCTAAGGTATGAATGCTCATGTTGAATTTTTTTTTTTTAGGCAGTTGGAGTTAGGTGACTTGCCCAGGGTCACACAGCTAGTGTCAAGTATTTGGTCTGAGGCTGGATTTGAACTCAAGTCCTCCTGACTTCAGGGCTGGTATTCTATCCACTGTGCCACCTAGCTGCCCCAGCATGCTGAAAATTTTAACAATTGACTCCTGAGACAGTTTGAACTAGGTCCAGTACACCCCTGGGGAGGATACAACAACAAAATGATGATGATGATGGTGATGGTGGTGGTGGTTGTGGGACCTAACTTGGGGTATAAGGTATAGAGTACTTTCAGGGTAAGGAAACTGCCTTTTGCAATGCAGGTCAACACTTTTGCAACTTTAAGTCTTAGAGAGTTGCCTCAAACCCTGAGAAATTAAATAGATTGCCCAGGGTCACATTGTCAGTATGTGCCAGAGGCTGGACTATGACCCCAGTCTTTCTTGCTTGGAAGCCGTGCTCCAGCCACACACCACATTGTATATTGTATTCCCAGTGCTTACCACAGTGCCTGAAGTATAGTAGGTGCTTACTAAATGTTTTTGATTAGTTGATTAGAGTAAATAATTTTGGAAAAATAGGATATTCCCCATATAATTGACAAATTAGATCATTAGACCAGACAGCATAACTCCTCATATACCACAGAGTGGTGCAATTGATAATTAAATGTATGATCACTAAACAAAGTGTAACCTTTAAGAGAAAGAATTCTGTGTGGTGAGATCATGCTCAATATACAAAATTTCTTTGGAGGGTAAAATAGATAGATGAATAAGAGCGAAGCAGAGAACCCAATTTATTTAGACCTTTAAAAGTTCTTTACAATACATATACACCAAAGATTATATTAGCCATGGGTCAGTAGACAGCAGCTAGGTGTTGGTTGCAGTGTTTTCAAGAGATTACATGACTGGGGCAGCTAGGTGGCACAGTGGAGTCAGGAGGACCTGAGCTCAAATGTGGCCTCAGATACTTGACACTTACTAGCTGTGTGACCCTGGGCAAGTCACTTGACCCATTGCCTTGCCAGAACAAACAGACAAACAAACAAACAAACCCAAAAACAAAAAAAGAGATTACATGATCAGGGAGTTGGAAGGACTAATATGATGAATATTTCAAAGGAAAAGATGATGGGATTTGAAGATGGATTATATGGAAGAATAGAGGAGAAGAATGAAAAATGACCACAGAGACTAGAAGGCTCAGAGATTAGAAGGCTATTGACAGAAGTGGGATAGTTAGGAATGGGAGCCAGTTTAGTTTTACAGGAAAGATGAGTTTTATTTTGTACGTATTGGGTTTGGTGTACTGTCTGGACATTCATATATATGGAAATGTCCTATAAGTAGTTGAAAAGATGGGGACAGAAAATCACGTGGAAGGATCACAAGATCATAGATTTAGAGTAGGAAGGGATTTAGGGATTATCTAGCCAAACTTCATCATTTTGCCAATGAGGAAAGTGAGGCCCAGAGAAATTAATTGCCAAAGATCATATAGATAGGAAGTGGTAGAGCTTAAATCCAAATCCCAGAAGTCTGTCTCCCAAATAGCCCTTCTTTGCCCTGAGCAGTGCTCCTCCAGGATTTCAGTCATCTGATTAGGGTAATATAGTGAATTGCCAAACCTTAAGAAAGTTATAGCAGAGCGAATGAGATGGCAGAATCCTGATTCTATGATCTTAGGGAAATCACAAAAAAAAAAACTCGGCTAGGCAACTATTGTTTCTTTGTTCTTTTAAAATCCTTTATAACTTGGCCCCTTTCTATCCTTGCAATCTTCTTATTCCTTTCCTTGTACTTTATGATTCAATGACTTTGGGCTCCTTGCTGTTCTTTGCACCAGACACCTGATCTTCTGACTCCTGCCATTTCTCTGGCTTACCCCAGTGAATGGAATGCTCTCCCTCCTCATCTTTGCCTCCTGGTTTTCCTGGCTTCCTTCAAGTCTCCCCTAAAACCTTACCATCTACAAGAAGCCTTTCCTGGTTCTTCTTAATGCTGCTTCCTGCCCTCCATGGTTTATATCCAATTTATCTTGTACCTGTTTGTTTGTAAATAGTTATTTGTACGTCACCTCCCCATTAGAATGAGGGCAGGAACTATTTTTGCCTTTCTTTGTATCCCCATTGCTTAGCACAGTGCATGGCACATGTTGTTTAGCTGTTTCAGTGGCGTCCAACTCTTTGTGACCCCATTTGGGGTTTTCTTGGCAAAGATACTGGAGTAGTTTGTCATTTCCTTCTCTAGCTCATTTTACAGATGAGGAAACTAAAACTGAGGCAGAGACTTGCCCAGGGTCATACAGCTAGTAAGTGTCCGAGGCCAGATTTCAACTCAGGAAGATGAGTCTTCCTAACTCCAGGCCCAGCACTCTATCCACTGTATCACATAGTTGCCCATGGCACATAGTAGGTACTTAATAATACATTTATACAAATTGCATACAACTTATACAATGACTTCAGTAATATAAAGGAAAACAGCTTTGAAAGACCTCAGAATTCTGATCAATGTACTGCCACTCTAGTTTATTCCTTTATCACCTCTTACCTCAATCATTGCAGTGACCTCCTAATTGGTCTTCCTACCCTAAAACTCTCCCTACTTCAGTCCATCCTCCACCTTGTTGCCAAGGTGATTTTCTTTAAGTGCATATAGGACCATATCATTCCTCACCTCAACAAACTTCATTGGCTTCCTGTTGCCTCTAGAATCAATTATAAATTCCTCCTCTGTTTTTCTTCTTAAAGATTTTCACAATCTGGCCTCATCCTCTCTTTTGATACATTATTTTGTACATTATTCTCCTGAATAGGGGGATAGCCCTCTCCCATAGAAGCTATACTCATGGGAGTATGGTGACCCCAAACAAGTCCCACCCTCTAGCTACTGCCAACATAGACCCTTGTCCTCTGCATATTACAAATCCTACCTCCTGCAAGGCTAGCTGGACAACCAGAAAATGAAACACACCCAAACCACATCCTAGCACACACATACCGGAGAGGTGGTTAGTGTTTCCTAACTTTAGAGACAAGAAAGAAAGAGAAAGTGCAGACTGCAGGGAGTGCTTCTTGACCCGCTGAGGTTTTATTTTTTTTGAGTGAGGGGAGATCCCAAGGAAAGGGTATGAAAATAATAATAATTATATAACAATGTATTTATATTATTGTATTATTTATATTAATGTAAATAAATGATAATGCAAATTGAATCAGACTGGGCGTAAGTAGTGAAAAAAATTACCTGTTCTACTTTTCTACTTCCTGTCATGTTTCTAGGAGGTAAAGAGTTAATTAGACTTCTGGAAGGGAAGGAAGGTCAAGATGCAACAAAGTCAGAAAACTTGAGTTTGAGCCTTGGCTACTCTGTGACTGTAGGCAAATCACTTAACCTCTCTGGGCTTCATCTGTAAAATGGTGATAATACAAGATGGTGGTAACAACATTTGCTCTACCTCTGTTACAGGATTGTTGTGAGGAAAGTCCTTTGTAGTAAGTATGTAGTCCTTTGTAGTAAGTAATGCGTCACAGTATGTAGGCCATTAGACCTGGAGTCTTGGAGACCTTCAAAGCTCGCCTTAGACACTTCTTAGCTCTATGACCCCGGACAAATGACTTAACTTGCCATTTGCTGAACGCCGAATATTGCACTAAGCACCTAGGAGGATACAGATGGTCTCCAAAGCCAGCTGTCTCTCTCCAGTAGTGACCTTTACTAGGATGTCAGTGACCAGGTATACTTGCCTTTTTGTGAGCTCTCCAGCCAGTGCCGCCATGGGAATAGGTCTTTTTCTTCCATTCCAAGAGGACCATCCCCCTCTCTTGCAAGAGTGTAGCACAGATGCTCCTCATGAGGACAGACACCTGGGACAGCTGAGCCAAGCTGACGCTATCCAAGAACCCTGCAATATACTGTAGTATCTCTAGGGGCAGGCTGGTCAATGACCTTTGGCTTTTCCCTCTGGGCCCCAGCTCTGGAGCAACCTCAGGCTTGATGGCAAATGTCCTGAGTTTTTGGCTGTAGATCACTTTGGCTTTTTGCCCGGGAGGGCGGAAATGATTCTGAACGAAGGTGCACCCCAAGTAGGCCAGTGGACAGCGATGCTGGAACCAGCCATTGAGGCACGACTGGATATCAGAGTGGATGTTCTTGAAGTGCAATGGGAACTCATCCCTCCTAAAGAACTTGTTGCAAGTAAAAGTAAACGCTGAACTACTCTTGTTATGTCTCCTGGTCACACACTCACTGTGCAGTTCCACGTGGAGACCTGGGGGGCCTTCAGAAGTAAGGTCTGCCAATACTGCACTTGAGGAAAACTGCTCTGGCTCAAAGCTGTAGGTCTGGGTTGCAAAGTCCATGAAGAGTCCATCGATGCTCCTTGATTCAGAGATGACGTGGCCCTTCAGCTCCCTTTCCATGGCACACAGAAGGGTAGTTCTGATTAGATCAGATTTTGGCAGTTCTTCTACATCGATCCCCAAATCTGAGGTATCTGTGGCCTTGTGTACACTTGGCCTGTTAGCCCCCATTGCGTCACCAAGTCGGGCCCTCTTCCCACAGTAGCTCACTGGGACTTTGAAGGTGTAAACAGTCTTGACTTCCTGAGCTTCTAGGTTGCCATAAACAAAGTCCCTTTCTCTGGGCGTGCAAGCAGGAATCTGGCCAAAGTGGATCAGCATTCTCCCATTATGCACCAGGTACATGTTATAGTCCTTTACATCAACTGCTGCCTTCAGTCTTTCCAATACTCCGTCTTGCCAAGGTGCGAGTCCTGTTGTTTCCATATTTCTGTAAGGGTCCTTCTCCTTTTGGTCTGCCTGGCCTTCTTTCTCCACACTAGCTCCCTTTTCTGAAGCATTGCTCTGACTGGAAGTCTGTTCTTTCCCTGTGCCCTGACTACTCTTGCCCCCAGGGTTTGCTGAGGAATTTGTCAACATCGATGCCGCGTGCTCTTTGCTGAAAATGTTTTCCCATTTCCCAAAACTGGCCAGATCCATCCCTTCTTTGTCTTTTGCCAAAGCCTCTCGTTCTTGCTGACTCAGTTCCACCATCTCGCCATTAGGTGACATTCCACTCACTGGCAGAGAATGAGAGTCCACCCCACCAACTGCTCCTTGTTCCTCCAAAATGGCATCACTGTCCATTTCCAGTTCTTCCTCAGTGAACTCTCTGGATTCAGGGAAAAACTCCACCATCTTCAGGGAGCCAAAAAGGACCTTTTGATCCTGGATGGCCAGAGCTGTGTCCAAACATTCCTCGCTGTGGGGCTCTTTCATGATATTCTCATGAAGAATCGTTTCTGAGTCTATATTTGGCCAACGGTTCCACTCCATGGAGCAGCAGACCACGCTGGCTGGGCAGACCTGGAGGTGCTTTGCCAGTTTATGTCGGGCCATAGAAAGAGGACAGCCATAAGCAGAGTTGAGGCAAGGAACCTGCTCCAGGGGACAAAGCAACTCATGCTCTTCCTCCTTGCACATGTGGAAAGCTGCTCCACAAAGCCGGCGGCAGCTGATCACCAGGCAGGAGATACTTGGCTCTACTGGAACCTGACACTGTCGATGGAAACATTTCTCACAATGCCGGTGCTGTACGGCTGGAGGTCTCTGGACCCTGCCCTGTGGGTCAAGGACAAAAGGGACAAAGGGAAAAATAAATAAATGTTAGAAGGAGACCCTTTATAGTCTTGGGTTCTCTCCTTGGAGAGCTTGTTTACCCTCACAGCCATAAGTAAGTGTAGCCTTAGGTGTGTGGCTATTTCCCCAAGTAGCAAATTTGTATTCCTACCCTTGACCTTTTCATCTGACAACTTGGTCCCACGTGTAGCAGGGGTAAGGAGGGGTGCCCTCAGTGGATTTTACAGGTCCCATTTGACAGGAAATATACACCAAATCCATCAAAGCAGGAGTTTTTAATCTTTTTTATGCTATGGATCCCTTTGGTAGTCTAGTGAAGTCTACAGACTCTTTCACACAGAATAGTGTTCTTAGATGCATAGAACAAAATACATATGATTACAAAGGAAACCAATGGTATTGAAATAATTATCAAAATATTTATAAAGGGGCAGCTAGGTGGTACAGTGGGTAGAGCTCCAGCCTTGGAGTCAGGAGGACCTGAATTCAAATCCAACCTCAGACACTTGACACTTACTAGCTGTGTGACCCTGGACAAGTCACTTAACCCTGATTGCCTCACCAAAAAGCAAAAAACCAAAAATATTTATAAAGCAAGTACCTGGACAAGACCCCTTGCCTTAGAGCTTCCTTTGAGCATTCCTGTTATGTGTGTTTCTGGTTGCTTCCAGAATATCTCCAGTTGGATATCCTGCTATCATGTGTCAGAAATCAACTTCATCAGCTTTCTTCCTCCCCAAAGTGAGCCACTTTTCCGCTTCGATATCATGGACAATAGTACCACCTGCCATTTGCCTGACCATGACAGAGTCATAAGATGAAGGTATCAAAGCTCAAGTTGGAAGGGCCCAGGGGTCCTTACTCATGAATTTGCTTTTAAAATATTTTGATAACTGTAATTCAATATACAGTTATCCCTTCCACATGGTGGGGGTTAGGGGTACAGTGTCCTCACAATCTGGAAAATCTGTGTAAAATCTTTTGGCCCTTTCTTCTTAGCAGAGAAGTCTGAATCTTTATAATATTAAAAGATAAAATATGTTGGTATTACACAATACTATACATATATATTATGCATTTCTGAGTTTCTAAACTTTTTCTGTGTCATCTAGTGGCCCTTGCATGTCATCTGTGGCTTCTGCAAAATTCCCCCCAAATTCCCATTTAATTTCTTATGTTGACCTGCCACATATTGGAACTGTGATGGGGAAAGTCACAATGTGGAAGGGAGAGCTGTAGTCGGTTTCCTTTTTCCTAAATATTTTATTTTATGCATTTAAAAAACATGATTCTGAGAAGGGACCCATAGATTTCACTATCTTGTCAAAGTGATGTTCCAAAGGGTGAGAACTTATGATGTAAACCAATCCCCTTATACAATTTAATTTAAAAATTTTCCCTTTTTAAAAAAATTATGGATTTAATCATCAATGCTATGGCTCTCTTGTTTTATAAATTAGAAAAATGAGGCCCAGGGTGGTTAAGTTGCTTGTCAATAATATACAGGTAATGTGTATCACAGGTAGGCTTTGAAGCCAGGTCCCCTAGCCCTAGATCCAAGAATCTTTCGATAGCGATACTCCTTGCATCTTTACTTCCTTTCTCAGACTCACTACCCCCATTAATCACTGAACTCTCCTAATTCATGCTCCCCTGTCTGTTCAATCTACTCTTTCCTCTCTGTTTTCTAAGACTTCAATCTAGGCCGGGTCTTCATCACTGCATATCTGGAATTTTAAAATCAATTCCTGTTTGGTCTCTCTAACTAGTCTCTCCTCTTTTCAGCTTATTTTTTACACAAATGTCAGGAGAGTATTCTTCAAATACTGTTTTTGTCATTGCCTTCTCAAGAATATACAATGGTTCCCAGTTCTTTAATTATAGCACTACCCCCTGGGCATAATCACCTTTTTGACTGAATTTCTTATTCATTTTTGTGAGGAAATCCCTATACAACTTTGATTTTAAAACTGTTTCGTCCTGTTTGTTCAAATGGTTTTAAAATGTTCAGAAGAAAAAAATTGCAAATTCCATTTAAGTATTAAAAGCAGATTTGACCAGTGCCTAAGAAAGGTTGTAAAATTCCACTTCAGGGGTTAGCACACAAAATTCTTTGATATGTGCACTAGACATTCCTTAAGAGGAAGAATATAATAACTTGGTGGCTAAAAACAGTTAAAAGGTCCCACCTGGGACAAATGGGAACTTAGCCGTTGCTAAATTAAATTGAATTTGAATTGAATTAGCCGAGGTTGCTTGCCCTTGGAGGGTATAGATACTGTGCTGGGCTGTGCTATGACTTTATACATTAGGAACCAAGTGACTATGGCTCTCACTGACTGGCCAATAACCACCTTTCTCCCCACCCCCACTGCTGCCCAGGCCTCACTTGCTCAATTGTTCAGGTTTTGATGGTTCAGAGTGAGTGTAAATAGCAATTGTTTCTGTTCTGGCCAAAAACTTTGAGCATCTTCCCTTTCCTGACTGATTTTTCTCTGAAGGCAAAGTAGACCATCTTTTACCTCAGTTCTTACCTAACCTTTATCTGCTAATGGGTGTTGCCTCAGACAAACTGAGATCTGGGAAAGACCTTGGCTTAAAAAGGCCCAGGTCTCCCATTGCATCCTGGGCCATCACCAGTCGTCCTGACCTGTATCTTGCCACTGGTCTCCAATGACTCTGGAGGAGAGAGGGAGGCTCTTTTCACAGTCCTGCCTCACTTAAATCCAAGTCAAGACATCACCCTCCTGATGTCATTGGTCCTCTTCCAGAATGAAGAATAAACAACAATAGTAGGTGACTGAGATTAGGTTCTGATGCCCAGGAATTAGTTTCCTCCTGCTCCCTGCTTTAGTTAATTCAGTTAATCTGGTTCATTAGTTAATGACACATATTACCCGTGTATTCTTGACAAGCCACTTAAATTAAATTTAATAATTTAGTAACAATTTACTCCTGTCTTAGCTAATTCAGGTGGCAACCCAGATAAATGATATATTTATAAATACAGCTTTTATTCATATAAATTCATTTATATATTATATTATATAACAGCAATATATAATATATTACAAATGTATATATTTATATAAATATACATTTAGCAGCTTATAAATATAAGCTACTAAATAGCTTTAATTTCATCCTGAAGCCCAGCAATAAGCTTGCTGGCATCACTTTATATGAATGTGTCTATGTACTCGTTCTTGTGACTGTCAGACCTATTTTGAACAGAGGGAAAGAACTGATTATCAGGACTGGAGGTTCAAATACAGTCCTAGCAATAATAGCCACAATCAATAAGTTTGTGAGGCTCAGAGTTGTAATGGTGAAAATAGTATCATCTCCATTTAACAAAGGAGGAGCCTGAGGTCAGGTGGCTTGCCCACATGGTGGCGGAGCTGGAACTCAAAACCAGGCTTTCTGGGCCCAAACTCAAACTTTTTCCACTGTACTCTGCAGCTTCCTTACTCCTAGTTGGTAGAATTCAAGTAAATAAGTAATTAAAAGGAATTTGATGCCTGAATTTTTGGGGGTGAGTGGGTAGAGGGGGTGTTGTGAAGGTAATTGGGGAAACATGAAATAAATAAATAAGTAATTAAAAGGAATTTGATGCCTGAAATATGGGGTTGGGGAAGTATTGTGAAGGTAGATAGGGAACAAGAAAATAAGTAATTAAAAGAAGTTTGATGCCTGAATTTTTTTTTTTGAGTGGAGAGGGGTTGTGCAGGTAGATGGGGAAATAAGCAAAGATGTTCTTTCTGACCAATCTCCAAAATCCCTTAAAGAGTCTAGAGTAGGTCTGGAGCAGGTAGGAGAGGCCCTAGGTAGCTCTTAATGGGCAATTCTGGGGTATAAGTTTAAGCTTTTTCTGAAAGCAAAAGTGGGAAAACTAGAGTTAAAATTTGATAAGAACTGAATTATAGGAGACGAAGAAACACGTGCATTTACATTTGAACTTTTTACATATTGCTTTACATTGTATCTTAGGTTATAAAACAAAAATAGTTATTAAAGATACTCCCTGTATGACCTTGGACAAGGCACTCAAGATATCACCCTCCTGATGTTATTGGTAGCTTTGTAGGCCTCAGTTTACTCATCTGCAAAATGAGGAGAATGGACCTCTGAGGGTTCCTTCCTGTTCTAGATTTATGATCCCAAGAGCCTATGATTTGTGAATAATATATGCTACTTTTAATAAAAAGTTTTATAGAGAAATGATAATCTGCTATATTGTGTTCTTTCTGCCTCTCTTAACTATGTGTGCCTGCAGAGAGCCTATGAAGTGGGCCTACATACCCATAAATGCTCACTTCACGTGGCAGCAGCTAGCAGATTCCTATGTTTGTTTCATTGTTAAGAGAATGATAATGAAAATGACAGAGATGACGAGAGTGATAAAAAAGAACATAACATTTATCTCAATTGAAAAATGTCACTAACTGATCTGGTTGATAACATAGGCTGCATCATCAATCCATCAACAATCATTTCTTAAGCTCCTACTATGTGCCAGGCTCTATGGATACAAATAAGATAAATAATCTAATCTCTACTGTTATGGTCTTGGGATTCCTGAATGGCCTATTTATTTTATATATGGTATTTGATGTCAGGGACAATAGATGGTGAAGTGGATGGAGTGCCAGGCCTGGAGTCAGGAAGACCTGAGTTCAAATCTGGCCTCAGATTTTTATTTGCTATGTGACCCTGGGCAAGTCACTTAACCTTGTTTGCCTCAGTTCCTCATCTGTAAAATGAGCTAGAGAAGGAAATGGCAAACCACTCTAGTGTCTTTGCCAAGAAAATCTCAAATGGGGTCAACAATGAGTTGGACAGAGCTTTAATGATTGAACAACCACCACAAAATTTAGTGTCATCATTTTTCAGGCAGGTAGAATGATATAGTGGAGAGGAACTGGAAACTGAGTCAGTGGACTTAACCTCCCTGGGCTTCACTTTCTTTAGATGGGAGTGGTACAGTGAAAGAAACCAGGAGACCAGGGTCTAAATCCATTGCCTGATGTTGACTATTTGTGTGACCTCAGACAAGTTACAGCCTTCTGGAGCCATAGTTTATTTTTCTACAAAGTTAAAGGTTTAGACTACAAGAGGTCCCTTCCAACAATCTCTATAATGAGAGGGTCAGACTAGATGAATTCTAAGATTCCATCCAGCTCCATATCTTACAATTCTATTTGTTTTCCTTTCAAAGTGATCTTGTGGGGCAGCTAGGTGGCACAGTGGATAGAGCACTGGCCCTGGATTCAGTCAGACCTGAATTCAAATCCAGCCTCAGACACATAACACTTACTAGCTGTGTGACCCTGGGCAAGTCACTTAACCCCATTGCCTAACACCCCCCCCAAAAAAAAATAAATCAAAGTGATCTTGTTTTAGAGGTACAGCATATATTGGGGCCAATAAATTGGCCTTATGTTTCTTAACAGAGCAAGTACCAGAACCATGGCATCACACCGCATGGCTTCTTCCCTCCAATAAAATCAATCTCATTATTATTCTGCATCTGTTTTGCTTACTAACTTTGCTCTATGTCATATAGTACTTTATTGTTGTTCAATCTTGTCTGACTTTTCGTGACCCCTGGACCATAGCACACCAAGATTGTCCATAGGGTTTTCTTGACCATGAAACTGGAGTGGTTTGTCATTTCCTTCTCCAGCTCATATTATAGATGAGGACACTGAGGCAAACATGGTTAAGTGACTTGCTCAGGGTCACACAGCTAGTAAATGTCTGAGGCTGGATTTGGACTCAGAAAGATGAGTCTTCCTGATTTCAAGCCTAGCATTCTATCCACTGTGCCCCCTACCTCTGTATGTGTGATACATATATCTGTGTATATGTATAAATATATGTGTATGCATAAATATATATATGTATATATACACTATATATCTATGCTGTATATACTACATATATATATATATTCACATATATATATATATATTCACATACATACACATGTGTTTACACACATACATACATACCTCCCAGGATTGTTGTAAGGATCAAATGAGATAATATTTATAAAGTGCTTGGTCCAATCCCTGGTACATGTAGTCACTTAATAAGTATTAGCTATTAAAATTATTATTAGGCAGAGGTTAAGTGATTTGCTCACACAGCTAATAAGTGTCTAAAGTAGGATTTGAACTCAGGTCTTCCTGGACTCTGGGCCCAGCATTCTATTCACTGTACCGCTTAGCTGCCTCATAAAAAGTTGCCTTACTGTTTCTTTAAAACTAGCTCCTAATCACCTGCCATTGCCATCAGAAAGGAAGGTATTATCCATTCCATTTATAAATAAAACTTAAAATTCCTTGTATTTAGTGTATGACAATGATGATAGCCACATTCTGTTTTCAGGCAGCACCTTCTATCTCAGCATATCAAAGCGCTGATCAAAGAGTATTTGGTGAAAACTTTTAGCCCATTTTAGTGATGGTGAAACAGAGGAGCCCCAAGAAAGGAGTGAATACCAAGTACCAAGGCTATTTTCTCCAGAACTAGGTCATGTTTTGTGCCAGGCTCTGGGCCAAGATCTCTGGTGCAGCCAGAGAAGAGCAAACATCTCCAGAAGAGGAAAGAAGGTCTGCCAAGTGAGCACTTCATATGTAACAGAAGGCACAGGTTAAGCAAAGACCAAGTGCAGCCCATAAAAACCCAGCACTTACCATAGTGCTGACACGTCTTCTTGCTTCTTAGCTCTAAAGGAAGATATAAATAATTAGCAACAGAAGTAAGACACCTATTTGTTGTTTTTTCTTTTTAAAATTCTGAATTTAATAAACTTCCATTAAAATGAGTACATTCTTATATATAGCAGAACTGAAAGGACTGTACTACTATGTACAGCTTGCTTTTCTTTTTAAGTATGTGATAAATTCAGCATCTTTCAAAACTATCGTGCTCGTCTATGATTCTGCACCCTTTTTTCATTCTCTTCTATTTATTTATGACATGTATTTTTCTCAAGTGAAAATTTTTATATTTCATTCTTTCCAGTTACGTGTAAAAACAATTTTTAAACATTCCTTTTTTAAAATTTCGAGTTCCAAATTCTCTCCCTCCCTTCCTCCCCTTCCCCTTCTTGGGAAAGCAGTTTAATATAGATTATACATGTGCAGTCAGGAAAAACATATTTCCATATTAGCCATGTTGTGAAAAAAAAAACACAGACCAAAAAATGAACAAGAAGAATAAAGCAAAAAAAAGTATGTATTGATTTGCATTCATACTCCATCAGTTCTTTCTCTAGAAATGGACAGAATTTTTCATCACAAATCCTTCAGAATTGTCCTGGATCATTGTATTGCTAATAATAGCTAAGTTCTTCACAGTTGCTTGTCTTACTTATTGCTGTGACTGTGTTTGATGTTCCGGTTGTTCTCATTTTACTTTGCATCAGTTCATGTAAGTCTTTTCTGGTTTTTCAGAGAGCATCCTGCTCATCCTTTCTTACAGCACAACAGTATTCCATCACAAACATATACTACAACTTGTTAAGCCATTCCTCAGTTGATGGGCATCCCCTCAATTTCCAATTCTTGACCACCACAAAAAGTGCTGCCATCAATATTTTTGTATGTATAGGTCCTTTTCCTCTTCCTTTTTCTTTGATCTCTTTGGGATACAGACCTAGTAGTGGTTTCACTGGGTCATAGGGTACACACAATTTTATAGCCCTTTAGGCATAGTTCCAAATTGCTTTCCAGAATTGCTGGATCAGTTCACAACTCCACCAACAGTAAATTAGTGTCCCAGTTTTTCCACATCCCCTCCAATATCTGTCATTTTCCTTTTCTGTGTGACATGTATTTTTAAACAGATACTCTGAATCTCAGCTTCCACATCTATAAAATAAAGGGGCTGGACTCCCTGGCTTCCAAGGAGATGGCAAACCACTCTACTATCTTTGCCAAGAAAACCTTAAGTGGGGTCAGGAAGAATCACATATGACTGAAATGGCTAAATAACAACAAGCCTTTGTCAGGGTCATTCCTCAGAAAGTTTTTTTCTAACACTACGTGTTGAAATCCTATTGTGTCCTTCAAGGTCCACCTCAAATGCAGCCTTTGGTGATTACCCCAACCAGAAGTCCTCTCTTCCTCCTCTGAATTCCTAAAAGACCTAGGGTCTGTAATTCACTCTTCAAGATGTTTTTAATGGTAACTATTTGCATGTGGTTTTATCTCCCCTCCTGTGAGGGGAGTGTCTGTGATGCATGTACATCTCTCTTCTACTGCATCCTGCGCCACCTCTAGTCATCCTGATCCACATCTGGTCATTGGACCCAGATGGCTCTGGAAGAGAAAGTGAGGCTTGTGACTTTGCCTCCCTCACTTGAATCCAATTCATTTGCACGTCACAGCATCACCTCCCTGATGTCAGGGTCCTCTTGGAGAACAAAGGACAAACAATAACAACAACAATCTCTCCTCAAAGTATTTTTCATTGTAGCATTTTGTGTATAGTCTTATCTCTCCCACTAGATCAAAAGTTCCTTGAAGACAGAAATTTTCGTCTAATTTTTCTTTGTAGCCTCCACAGTGGTGGGCACATTGTATACTCTAAACAAGCATTTGTTGAATGAATGGTTGATTAATGAATATATCCTCATCCTCCTGCTTCCCAGATGGAAGTTCTTTTGAATTACAGAGGGATTGCCCTACTTTGTATTTTGGGAATTGCAATGCCCTTTGATTCTCCCACTCCAGTTGGTCAAACCTTGACAATCATCTACACTGTAATGTTCCATCCCTACTGGTCTGCTACCAAATTCATGGGAAGATTCACTATTCCCTTAGTATTTATGCTTACCCATTTCCTATTTGTATTTTTATGCGTGATCAATGCTCTACCAGCATTCTTTCCGCTCCATTGCTTCCAACGTGGGATGCTGCCATTTGGATGGGTGACTGTCTCACCTGGCCCACTATTCTAGGCAGCGAAAGTGAAGCCTTTCTTTACTTCTCTCGCTACTCCCGGTTGTATTCTCACCAGCTGACTTGTAGCTGCATGGCATCTCTCCTCACTACCCCTTCCAATCCTGGGACAGCCAGTTTGATCTGCTTTCCTGTATATACCTCTACTCACCATCCCTAGTCACTATTCCACTATGTTTGTGGTCTCTCCCAATTAGAATATATGCTCATTGAGGGCAGGGGCAGTCTTTGCTTTTGTAATTGTACCCCTAGCACTTAGCACATAGTAATTGCTTGCTAAACGCTTTTTTCTCCATTCATTCATTTCCTATTTTGTATGTGTGCAGTCTCTTTTCCCTCCCTAATTAGGCTGTCCTGTATCTAGCTTCATTCTTCTCAATTTGACCAATTTATTAAGTTCCTACTCTGCAAAATTCAGTCCTATAATCTACCCACAAATTAGATGACATCACTTTCGACTTCATCAGCACCTGTTATATTGTCTACAAGTTGACAAGGAACCTTTAACGGTTATTCTCCCTCCCACCCCCACCCCAGTTGAACCATGTACCAACTTTTTACTTTGAATATTTAATGTGTGGGAAGGAGACAGACTAGGAGTTACTTTGGGCAAAAGCAGGCAGTGACTGCAGGGAAGTCTAGTGTACCTCTTTATAACTCGGGGATTCCTTATCTGGTAAGATGCTTTTGGGAAGACCATGTGGGTGATAACATGACCTAATGGGCACTATGCAAGATCCAGGATAGTTGGCAAAATCTTTGTTTGTTTGTTTTGGAGGGAGGTTGGTATACAGCTTTGTGGGGCTAGTGGATAAAACACTGCACCTGGAGTCAGGAAAACTTGAGTACGTATCCTACTTCAGACACTTACTGGCTAGAGGGGCAGCTAGATGGTGCAGTAGATAGAGCACGGGCCCCAAAGTCAGGAGGACCTGAGTTCAAATCCAGCCTCAGACCAAACACTTGACACTTACTAGCTGTGTGATCTTAGGCAAGTCACTTAACCCCAATTGCCTAAAAAAAAGAAAAAAAAGACACTGGCTGGGCAAGACACTAAACCTCTCTCAGCCTCAGTTTCCTCAACTGTAAAATGGGGATAATAATAGCACCTACTTCCCAAGGTTGTTGTGAGGATTAAATGAGATAATATTTATAAACTGGCACATAGTAGGCACTTAATAAACGTCTGTTCCCTCCCTCCCTTCCGTCAAGGACTTTACATTCTATCACGCATTCCATCCTTACAAACTGTGTAGGTTGTTAGCAGGGACCTTCTGGAGGTCAGGTGATGGGGCTAAACATTCTGTTCCAAGATCTCTCTGTGCGTTTCTTAGAAAAACACAGAGAAATGCCACAGTCAGCAGCATATGCAGACTATACTTCCTAGAAAAATTACTCTAGAGTTGTTTATAAACTCATTTAGATACTGAAAAGATTCTCAGAAGGGAACTAGAGAGGACTGAATTAGCCCTGGGGGCCTCAGGTTTTGGAACCCATCAAAGAAAGAACACTCTCTAATTATAATGATGCTAATTCTACCTTTACTAAGGTCATCAATGCATACGGGGACATTATCAATTAAAGAGGGGTGAAAAATCAGTGCCAGTGGATCAGCTCCCCTTGTCTCTCTCAGGCTCCCTCAGTGGCTCGTCTTGAGTTATGCTAGCAGCAGCCCATGCAGCTTAGGAGAGTCTCACAGGTCAGAAGAGCAATCTCTGCCTCCACCTACAATTGCTTTTATCCTCGAATGTTGGATGTCACATCAGCCCAGGGTTTGGCGCAGCTTTGTCAGCTGTCCAAAATGGGGAGGTGTGACTTGAGATTATATGTCTCTGGAATCTTCCCCTCCCCAACTTTACAACCTTATTTTTTCTGGATTTTCCCCCTCCCCTTTTAATCCTGTTTTCCTGTTTCCACATAAAATCTTACAATGCTCATTGCCCTTGGGCTATTTGTAGATCTAGGTCCAGCAATCAGGACTGAGTAGAGGTCATAGCTGTGCCTGCTGAAAATCTCTTGCAAGGACACTCTTTGTACATGGGGAAAGAATATTCCATAATATACAAGGAGAGCTAGGCTTATTATGTCATGGGATAATCATAGGTGCTAGTTCACCTGACTGCGCTGAAGGCCCGGCCAGTTGGCTCGAGTCTCCCAATTATGTTGTTAGGAATCGTAAGTTGTCCCACATCTCAGTGGAAAGGTCATCTAATGAGCTCTGTCCACTATAGGTGCAGACATCTAGCTGCACCCATATTTTAATTTCTGGTCGAAGGTTCTACTCATGTGACTCTTACCCAATTCTTTACCTGCTATGGACTTCTATCTATTTACACAGGATGGGGAAAAGTCATTATTTTGTTCTAACAGTGAAGCAGCTCTCTAAAAAGATCAATCAACTAACCAAGCAAATTATCTCCTAAACTGGGCCAGGCACCATGCTGGGAACTGGAAATACAAAAGGCAAAAGTGAAACAATCCCTGCTTAGTTAGGTGATGCAAAGAAGAGTGATTGGCCTGGAGTCAGGAAGACCTGACCCTTAGACACTTAACTAGCTCTGTGATCCTTGACAAGTCACTTAACTTCTTTCTGCCTCATTTTCCCCATCTGTAAAATGGGGATAATAAATAGCACCTACCTCCCAGGGTTGTTCCAAGGATAAAATGAGATAACATTTGTAAAGCACTTTACAAACCTTAAAATGCTATTTAAATGCTAGCTGTTGTTATTATCAGCTACTAATATAATAAACATGAGACAT